GTCTGCATAAAGTTTTACGTGAAGCTTGGTAAATCCACTACCGAACCTCCTGGAATGCTTCGTGAGACTTTTGGAGAACATTCTTTAAGCCAGACAACGGTTTTCATATGGCATTCACATTTCAAGGTTGTTCGAGTGTCAGTTGAAGATGAAGGTTCAGGGAGACCAAGCACCAGAAAAACGACAGAAAATGTTGAAAAAATTCAACAACTCATCCACGAAGACTGTCGCCGAACAACCCATGAGCAAGCAGACATCTTTGGGATCAGTTATGGACTGCGCTGCTACCTAATGATACACATAGAGAGCCTATTACGTCCATCAGAGCCGTTTTACTTCCATTTATGACCTAGTTACTGACTCTCCCTAGTAAATTATTTACTAATGATATATCAACTGCATGTTACTAATGAGATGTTCGGATTTCTATAGACAGTGAATAAAGATTACTTCGGAATACGTGATATTCTATTTCAGTTCCTGTCCTGGAATTCACTTGAAGGGCCCAAAAAACTATAAAAAATATCCAGGCCACTGGATCCACTGTCATGACCTGAACCAGATACCTTCTGCATACAAGTCAGCTATGATACTACTCACCTAACCCACTTGAAGTCTGTGGTAGAAATAAATGTAAACTCTAATACATCTTCAGTGGTGTGTGTTTTGTGATTTATTTCACAAGTGAACTCTTATGCAAACAGACCTCATTCAGAACCAGAAGTGACTAACACTGATTTGCTGCAGTGAAGAAACAAACATGCATGTTGCCTTTGATTATGAAATAAGAAGTACTGAGTAACGATAACTGTATATTATAAGAACACAAACGTTCAAATACTGCTACTATCAGAGCCCACCACTGGCTTTTATACTGAGCCATATATGTGATTTGAGGTTTTCATGTGATAACCAACTTCATGAAGGGGAGCCCTTCCTGAGAAGCCAACAACTGTATAGCTACTAAAGAAATTTACAGCAATTTATGGAACCCGAATGTTCATTACCATGTTCACAAGAGCCCTCCACTAGTCCCTGTCCTGAGCCAGATCAATGCAATTCATACCACCCCATCCTATTTCTCTCAAATCCATTTTAATATTATGCACCCACCTACAGTTTGGTCTTCCTAGTGGTATCATTCTTTCTGGCTTTCCTATCAACATCCTATATGCGTTCCTCTTCTCCCCCAGTTATGCTACATGCCCTGCACATCTCATTCTCCTTGATCTGATCATTCTCTTTCGTGAAGTGAATAAGTTGTGAAGCTCCTCATTATGAAGTCCTCTCTAACCTCCCATCACTTCATCTCTCTTTCAGTCCAAATGTTATCTTCCCTCCCTGTTCTCAAACACCCTCAGTCTATGCTCCTACCTTTAAGTCAGTGACCAAGTTTCACTCCCATAAGGAACTAGAGGCAAAATTATAGTTTTTATGTTCTAATTTTTATGTTTTTAGAGAGCAGACTAGAAGACAAAAAGGTTCTGGAATGAATGGTACCAAGCATTACATGAACGCAATCCTCTTAATTTTCTCCTGAATCAGGTTTTGATTTGTTACTCTTGTTCCCAAATATTTTGAACTGTGCCATATTTTCAAAGGATATGTTAGCTATCTTTATATCACGAGTTTGTCCTGCATTCTTGTGATGAGACAGGAACATACACTTAATTATATCTGTGTTTACTTCCAGAGCAACCTCCCTACTAGCATCAATTAAATTTTCTGTGTTTTTCTTTATGGCATCTTATGTTATCTCCCAGCAGATTACATCATCAGCACAGACCAACAGCTGATTTGTCCAATTCAATACCACCTGGTTTTCCTGGACCTTCCTAATGTCATATTCTAAAGCAAAGTTGAAAAGGAGTGGTGATAAAGCATCTCCTTGTCTTAGACCATTCTGGATAGAAAATTTATCAGACAAATGTTTACCTACACAGACTTTACTATACATTTAATTTAAACACATTTTAATCAGCCTAAAAGTTTTATGGGTACCCCCAAACTCTACAAGAATATTGTACAATACTTCCCTCCTAAATGAATCATAAGCTTTCTTGAAGACTATGAATAGCTGATGCACTGTTTCATTGTACTCCCCTTTTTTCTCCAGTATCTGACGAATGCAAAAGATCTGATCAGTAGTTGATCTCTTATGTCCAAACCCACAAAGATGACCCCCAGTAATTTTATTTACATATGGACTTAACCTTGAGAGAAGATTATATTGTATAATATTTTGTGATATCCCATAATTACTACAGACAGTTTTATCACCCATCTTGTGAACTTGTCCAATAATTCCCTCTTTCCAGTGATCAGGCAATTCTTCCATATTCCAAACAGAATAATGAGTTTATGGATCTCACATCCTGCTTGAATCAGTTCTGCCAGAATTTGATCACAACCTGGTGATTTATACCTTTTCAACTCTGCAATAGCAATTTCAACCTCAAAGGATTAGGATCAGGTACTAACAGCTCAGCTGTATGTATTTCTATCTACCTAACATCACTGACCCTCTGTACATTCAATAACTGAGAGAAGGAGTTCATCCACTAACTCAAAACATTGTGGGAATATGCAAGCAGATCACTATTCTAATCTTTCACTAAGTTACCTATAGGCTGGTTCGTGTTCTTGCTGTTCATTGCAAGCTCATTAATTTATTCTTTCAGATATTCCTTCTTTCTATTTCTAAAATGCTTGCTGGCTTTACATCTCATTTTGTTCAGATTATCCCCACTTATTTTTCCTGGATCCTGTAACCACTGCAATTTGGCTGTTTCCTTTCATCTAATAATTCTGAGCATCCTTCGTTGAACCATGGCTTATATTTCTTAAACCCATAATAGCCCTAGACTCTCTTCAGCTGAAAGGTTTATATTCTCTCTAACAGTTTCCCAAGCTCTATTAATATCCATTTCAGTGTCATAAGTTTTCCAAAGCTATGAACATATTTCAGATATAAAAAATAATGCTCTTTACCACCTATCTCTTTTCATTTCTTGGGACTGAACCTCCCCATATGAAATCTGCCCCATTTGTTTACTCACAGCAAATCTCTCCCTAACTTTTGCCACCACCAGACATTGGTCACCACCACAATCTGCTACCCTGAATGATCAGACACCTAGTATACTTGCATGTTGTCTCCTATCTATCAAAATATGGTCAATTTGTAAGATTTTGAGGCTTTCACGGCGGTGACTATGAAGAAAGCAGTCTTCTGGGATTTGGCACCGTGTATATGTGGTGTTAACCGACGTTTCGGAGGAACATATCGCCCCCATCTTCAGGGTAGAAGAAAAAGTATAAGAAATCTGCAAACGACAACACTGTGAGAAACGGTAAAGCAGATTTCTTATACTTTTTCTTCTACCCTGAAGATGGGGGCGATACGTTCCTCCGAAACGTCGGTTAACACCACATATACACGGTGCCAAATCCCAGAAGACTGCTTTCTTTATGGTCAATTTGATTGTGAGCCTTTCCATCAGATATCCAAGTAAATCTATGAATGTTATGATGTGGGAACATTATTCATTTGAGATTTTTGGATGTGGCAAAGTCTACTACTCTAACTCCATTATCATTATTTTGTGACCTCTCATTCCCAATTGTTGGTTTGAAAATGTCTTCCCTACCTAATTTGGCATTATGATCTCCTAACAAAATTTTCATATGGTATTTAGGAAATTTGGTGAACACGTTCTAGTTCTTTGTAGAACCTGGCCTCAATATTATCAATTTTATCCTCTGTTGTGGCATGAACATTCAGAATGATGATATCACACCAGCAGCCTTTTAGTATTATGTAAGACATCCCATCACTAACAAACTATACCCTCTTAACTGCTGACATGACTGTTGTATGCATGAAAAAACCTGTACCTAATTAATGATTCTTACTTCCCTTCCCATAGAAAAATGTATATTCACCTGCTGGCTCGGTGCCTCTTCTGTCCCTTCCGAACTCCTGTACTCCAACTAAATCCGATATTTTGATATTTCTTTGTCATGAGCGAAACCTGCCCTGTACAGCCTTCTTACATACCAAATATGTTCACTACCTTTAGCTTTGGTCATTTATCCACAGAATCCATCCAGGTCCAAGGCCCTTTGTTACATTTTGTAACAAGCATATTTTTTACGGTGAGTTGTTGTTAGCCCCATGCCCAACCCCCACGCTGGAGGACCACCCCTTGTCAGCTGTCCACAACTGCTTATTCAATATATTTGCAGTTACCTTCCATATCTAAGCGGCCTCCGTAGTCTAGAGGTAACGTTCCCACCTCATGACTCGTAGTACGCGGGTTCAAATACCCGGCGGAGGTCGTCGAATTTTTAAGGGCGGAAAAATTCAGGGAACAAGTCCTCCGGGAGGGACTTTAAGCCGTGGGTCCCGTGTTGTAGCTTTACGGCACGTAAAAGAAAATCATATCTCCAAAGGAGGTCACTGAGCCAAATTACGGACGTTTCCTGCCCAACAGCAGTCTCTAATACCTCTGGTAGATGGGGGAAGCATTATAGATACCTCTCAGCTAGTAGAGCCGGTCTCACTGGCTGGGCGGGACTGATGGCAAGCACCAGTACCAATACAGGTCTAAGTGCATGGGGAAACCCACCCTCTCCATTAACTAACTAACCTTCCATATCTGGAGGCTGTCTCCACTATCTGCAACCTGTGGATGCGCCATGCCATGGTGACAAGGGACCCACCTACCATGGGTTTTCATGGGATAAAGGTTTATATTGTAGTCTTCTAGGTGATGACATATAGTGTACATACATACCAGTCTCCATACATCCCTCTGAAACATTGGTACCCACCTACCACATCACAGGGTGTCAAAACTCAGAAAGTCAGAATGAATCTTGAATGAATTCACTGGATAATACTAAGTTTGAAATGTTACTTTTCTGCCAGCCAACTACATAAATGGAGGAGTTACAAAATCTGAAATACTTTCTTTCACATGAACAAACACATGACCTCGGAATGACATTTTTGTTTATTAAATTGCATTTTGGTGTTATACAGTTGTGGAAAGTCAGCTGTTACACTTTATAAATATAGGGATTATATATACAGCATCTATGTAGCATGACATCTTCTTTTTAACAGACTATGTGCACAACATTTTGCATAAACCTACTATTATATACACTATAAACAAAACAAACTTCTTAAAAGCAGGGCAAATGGTATTTTATGGGGCTTGAATTTGAGCAATACAATTCATTTTAAAAGTTCATAATAATAAAAATATACAATAAATCAAAATATTTTACATTAATAATAGATACAATTATAACTTCCGAACGAATGTTAAAGAATAAAAAATTATTACAGGGAAGACTGAGCACTATTACCGGTAGGACAGCCGAAGTCAGCAAAGCTCTGCCAGTAAGAATATTTACAATCACAATGTTCTCACATTTGCTGCAAAACTTCAGATGTACCCAGCTGCATTCCCTGTTAATTTTATATTCTACTCTTCATAATTCATAAATATTTTTACTAATGTGTGTAACTATATTTCATCTTGAGGAAATATTGCAATAAATGCTCAAACCTGAATTCATAATTACTGTCAATTCACACATTTTAGTCTGAGCTTTTTGGAAACTATCTAACTAAAACATCTTCCATCCTAATGAATTAAGTGCCTGGACTGCTGAGAAGTCATGCTATTAGTGATGGTAATAGCTGATCACAATCAATACACTGTACAAAATATAAAATAATTAAATTTTCATAAGAAATAAAACACAACAGTCACATACAACCTTCACTCCAAGACTCAGTTCAAATTACACAGTATTTTGAAAAAATTATTATAACACCTAATACTATGAGGGAGTCAGTAAGTTGGTCACAGATGGATATAAAACGTAGAACATGTGATACTGGAACCCCCCCCCCCACCCCACACACAATAAAAATCTCAACATATTGTAACATGGATGACCAGAGCGTTTCTAGGCAATGACCTGCAAACAACCTTCAGTCACATAAGCGCACTCAACAATAGGATGAATGTCTATAGTTTTTGCTGGGCAACAGTCAGCGCACCAATGGGCTAACGAGATAGCTATCACATGACTGGCTTTCTATGGAGTCCGTGCCTATGCAATGTCGCAGTAAATATTCCTCTCCAACAATAGAGGCTGTTTTCTGTGTGGTTGATGCAGAGGCTATATAATGACAGAGACAGAATAGATTTCAATTTTCAAGTGTCAGTGAGGGAGTTCTCGGTGAAAGTTTGTCTTATGAAGGCTTCATGTGTGATTAGAAGACTTTATTCATGTGTAATATTCGGAGCGATTTGAAGGGCTTGTTCCGGTGTTTCAATTGCATTACCAGGATAGGACTAGTGTGTATGGAACCAGCGATAGTACTGTAATTTAAGTGTGATTAAGAGAGATTGTAACCAAGGTGCTAATAAATCCAATCATCCGAACAAGAACCCGTCATTCTCGTCAAACGTACCACCCTATACGTGACGATAGCATCCACGAACGTTGATAAACTAACCCACAGCACAGAAGTCTTTTTGACTGTTGTCTCTGCCACATTCACATCTCCATTTCAACCTCTTCGCCATCAGTGAAATATTTGCCACCAAAGTGGAACTGCTTTACTTCACAAAGGCGTCCAATCATAAACAGGAAACATTTCTTTATGAATATTCTTTGCATTGAGCCCTTTTGCCCACAGAAAGCCCAAAACAGAACTCTGCTCTTTGGTAGTACACTCCTCAAGCACGTTCGCCATTTTCACTACTGAAACCAGAATCTGAATATGAGCATGAACGTCTGCTACCTAGACTCTCATGAAGCTGGGCTGTGCTGCTATCTAATGATACACAGAAAACCTATTACGTCCATTAAAGACGTTTAACTTCCATTAGTGACCTATTTACTGACTCTGCCTTGTATAATACCTAACACAAAATTCTTTGAATTCATCACACCCAGCACTCAATGAGAATTTATGTTATTTTATACTGAAAATATATTTTTGAACAGAGGTAAATAAAGATGTAACTTGTATAATAACCTCTTCATACAGCTTGAACTGTAAGTTATTCTGAGCTCAAAAATCAGTTTCATATGAGATGAAAGCTTCATGTCTATGTTCTATACATATTAAATTATGGTAGCTGTAAGTTTATTATTTGAGCAAGTTATTCACAGAGACAGAAAAAGCTGTATACAACATGTTAAGTGCTAGGTCCATAATCATATGGACCCTCCAAAAAATATCTATTAAATGCCTAGGCCAGAGCTGAGGCTGGTAATGAACTGTGTTTTGGTTTCATTTTATTAAGGAAAACTTTGATGCAGCCATTAAAGTCAGCACTAATAAGAACATAACCCCCACAACCTTTGGTACGTTGAGCTACCACAGGATCTTCCACACGCAGGTTCTGGCTAGCATCTGCTGTTCCCTCTTGCTCCTTGATCTGTCGAATGATGTTATCTGGGTTTGGAGCAAATACAGCACATGTAACCACTGCACAATGTGCTTTGATTCCTTCCCAGAAATCATTTCTGTCCCGTCGAACTGATGAAAATTTTGAGTAATCATGATGGGTCTTCCAGATGTAGATACACTGATTTTCAGACCCACTAATAATATACTTACCATCATGACTAAAGCTGGCCTTTATCTGACTGCTTACATTTACATAACCTTTGTATTTGCAAGAGAGATTGAGGTCACGGAGGTCATATAATCTAATTCGGCTATCATTGGAAGTGACCAAAATCTTATCTTCACCTGGCATTGGTTCAATCCCGCTGATCTTCCGCCCAGTCGAATTTTTTCCTCGTGTTGACCGGACGTGTATCTGTGTGTGGTACTTAAGTTGGTCAGTGTTGTAGAAAATGCAACGACCATCATATGATCCCACAACTGCAAATTTACCATTTTGGCAAAAATTGGCTGCAGTGATGAGTTTAGTCTGGCCATCTACCTCATTCCACACGGCCACCTTCTTGTCAGGTATGTTCCACAGACGCAACTTCCCATCTAAGGACCCACTTAGGAAGTACCGATCATCCCGAGGGTGAAAAGCAATGGCTGTCACAAAATCAATATGTTGGAAACAACACAGACACTCTTTCCTTGATATATGCCACAGTCTTACAGTTTTGTCCATTGACGATGATAAAACAAAATAATTCTTTGACCATGATACATCCAGTAAGTCAGATGTATGACCAGTGTAAGTGCAGAATGGTTTGGGCATAAATGGACTTTGGTCATCACTTTTTAGATCAGCATATGCAGCATTTGGATCTTCAGCTGAATGTTGTGAGACCAATGATTCTTGAGATGGTGTTGGTGAAACCTTCTCAGCATTATATTTTGTCCGCATGTCCTGAGAAGTACACAAATATAAGCTGTAGCGTATTTTGTTGAGTCCATATTACTTAATACTAACCATGCACTTATAGCAACAAACATTAACATTTTATACCAACCAACCCTATCACATACAAGAAGACAGGTATTACAAGAAAAGGTGGAAGGTAAATGCAAACATTAAACATTACACACTGTAAATAAAATTAAAAGTTATAGCATTCAAGGATAATATGAGAATGTTCCTCAAATCCTTAGTTTCTTGGAACTAATAATAAAAATTTGATTTGTTTCATTCTGGTACATCACACTAATAATATTATGAAAAAGGTAACAGAGTAAAAGCAACACAGGGGGCCACAAACATATACAGGACAACATTAACGAAGCTTCTTCTCGAGAACAACAAGGTGGCACACATTCGGCCCCCATCAAAAGAAATAAGAGGGATGACAAAAACCAGCTTGGTTTACAAATTCCAATAGAATCTTATCAAACTAACTATAAATATTTTAATGTACTGGAACAGCCGCTGTAGTTGTAAAGACTTCAGATTTTACACCCAACTGTATATTATTTATATAGTATGTATATATTCTAACTTTTAGAACATGTACTGTAATAGTGGCTTCTAACTGTATTGATGTAAAGGTGTCCCTCTGAAGATGGTCTCTGAAGACTGAAACATGTAAGGGCATGAATAACTGAAATAAGAAGAAGAAAAAATAATTAACCAGTCAGACAGGACAGAACTATTTAACTTTTTCATAATAGTAATAATTTACCAATACTTATTTTTGACATCTGATTCTATAAATTTTATCATATATATGCTCATTGTTTCCAGAAAATAAAAGTATAATTTGATTAAGGTCAGGACAAGTTAATAGAAAGGAATTGAATATATTTCCAAGGGGGACTACAAGTCATCCCTTTAAGTCATTCTTTACAAAGTAAAAAATAAAGCCTTATATGGAGATAATGTTTCTCACTCTCTCTGTATTTGATATCAGACCTTAATCATTGGACAAATCTTCTTTTAACTTCATATGGCAGACTTGTACTCCATGATACCTCGGGTCCAAGCGTGTTTTCTGGTCAGTATCCCGAACACCATGCATGTGAGAAGATCTGGCCCCAAGTAGTATGTATCTCATTTCCTGTGACTTCTTTCTTTGGGGATTCATGGAGGAAAAAACATGGATAACCGACAGTTCACTGTATTTAGCAGCTTCCTTGATTACTGTAATCAAATTTCACTATATCCCAAAATGGATTATACAGCAGATAGTGGCATGGTTCTAGTATCGTTCACAGTAGTTCAGTGGTCTTCCCTGTAATCATTCTCATTGGTCTGTGGATAACTGCACAAATTTATTTACAAAACTAAATATAAATTAAAAAAAAAAAATGATGATGATGATGATGACGACAACAACAACAAAAAGAAGACGGTGATGAAGAAGAGGATATTGTGTGACTAGAGTGAGACTTTTTACTTTTATTTCTATTCAAATAAGATCACCTGTTGTATGAGACAAGAAATATGCATACAAAACAAACACGATTCAACAATTACTGGAACACAGGGATCTGGAAATTCTGATGTCACCTAAAACTTGCGTAACTATCCATAGAATATCACGGCAGTGCACCAACTATGCACCAAAGTGCATTCAGATTCTAATTTTTTTTTTTAATAACAGTATAAGAATGGATTGGATACATTAGGACAGCTGATAGAATGAGTGTATGCAAATAGCTTACAAAAGCTTGTATGCTACAAGGAAAGCTTTATAGCTGCACAGTGACCTAGGTGAATTAGAATGACAATGACCAATACTATCACCTCCCTGAATATTGACCTTTCCTCCTGGGACACCCAGTATAAGAAAGATTATAAAGTCAAACACATAATCATATAATTACCTGGAAGTAGGCAAAGGCATTTCGGACTACCCATATGCGCAGAACTTGATCCTGACCAGCTGTAGCCAGAAGCCGCCCACAGGAAGAGAATTTCATGCACCAAACTGGACCAACATGCTCTCCAACAAGATCCTGAACATGCTGCAAGCTATCAAATTCATAAGGGCCCTTATGACTTCCTGATGCTTTTAACTTAATATATTGCTCCCCGGGATAAACATCATCCACAATATCCATTACATCTTCCTTGTGACGAGCATGGGAGACTTCCTGAGCAATTGATTTTGCCTTGTTCATTGTCTTCTTCAACTTTGAACCAAAAATCTTTTTCAGCTGCGCTGCACGACTTATTTTATTAACATCAACCTCCTCACCAGATGGTACTTCCAATTTCTTACTATCCACACTCTCCTCATCTGATTCCTTTTCCCCCTTCTCCAAACTTGAGTTGCTCACATACTCAGATGTGAGCCGCATAATATGCAAGGAGAGTGGGTTGATGCACTGGGGTAACTTGTCCTCAGCTATACTTAGTGGCACACGTTCTCCTGTATCCAGGTTAAGAACTGTTACTTGTTCCAAGATTTCCTGCAGAGAGAAAGAAAGTGACTTTACTTAGCCAACAGAAACAATGGAAACATCAGGATCTCTTTTTAGGGGCAAGAAAACTGCTTTGCCCCAGTACTTCTCTCTCTCTCTCTCAAAAAAGTATGCATTATGTCAGTTTTATAAATTGTTTCCAATTAACATATCAAGGTAGGTCAGAAACTGTAACTTCAGCCCTGCTAAATGGCCTGTGAAATATTCCTAATATAGCAGAGGATTCAGCATGAGGAGTTCTACCTTCTGGGATATAATGCCATGCAGTCCAGGGAAAGTCAACAGATGTTTCAGAGGAACACTGATTCCATATTCAGGATTGAAGAGTAAGCCAAATAATAATGCAAGCCTGCATTCCTATAGTCATCACAGAGTTTTATAATTTGTTCTCATCACCAAATATTACTAGGGAGATCAATTCAAGGATGGGATAAGCACAATATGTGTATACATGAGGGTAAAAGAGGAATACATACACAAATCAGAAAACCAAATGGGAAGAGACCACTTGGGAGACCTAGGACAATAATCTGATTCAGGATCAGGATCAGTGGTGAGAACATGTGAACAGTACAATATGCCTTTAGGATCCATAAAATACAGAAAATTTCTTGATCAGCTGAACAAATATCATCTTCTCAAGTACCCTGCTGCATAGAGTTTGTTGGTGAGTTTCAAATCAACTCTTATGACATAATACTGAGTGGCGCTTTGTAATATATCTGATTTTGTACCCAAGATGCCCTTAAGAGCTGGTAACCACAATAACTATTCTGTGTGCAGGGGAGGTTGTCTGTACAGAATTCTGTCCTGTAGAACCAATGGTAAGCATTTATAAGATTATTAATATGAAACCAATAAAATACATGTCATTAGACTAAACTGTATTGTACTTGAGAATACTGATCTTACCAAATCACTAAGCTGTTTTCCAGAGTCAGTTCGTGTTCTCACAAGCATATTTAACTGTGACATCATTCCTTGTTCATCACCAGCTGATCGCCTTCTCTCTTTTGAACCTCTTGGACTCAGCCCTTTCTTACGAGTGCCCCCACTTGTACGACCAATGCTGCTGCTACTGATAGAGCCTACTGGACTTCCAGATGCCTGACTTGAATTAGCACTTAAGAGCTCAGCCTTAAGTCTTTCCAATCGCTCAAGCTCTTCAGATGATGGACCTTCTGCTTTTGCACGGTCTTCATCCTGGTGGTAAACCACACGGGCATTTTAGAAAGGATGACATCTGGTTTCTTACCAACACATATACAGTGATATGTCAAGAAGCATACTACAGAATTTACAGAACTTGAATACAATTCTGGATGACATGGTAACCAGACATTTACTCTGTACAGCCCTACTGCTGTGTTTTGATATATACCTGTTAGATATTCCAGAACAAGCACTAAGTTACAAAAAATACCAAGTGAAAAAAAGAACAAGCATTAGTGGACCACATTACACCTAGACTGAAATAGCATTAAAATATATGGATTAAAGGCTGTCCTGAAACTCATAGAAGGAAAACTGATCAAAATGCTTCATACAAATGACAAACATGTTATAAATGTCTGAGCATTCCTACTGATAAGGCAACATCAAAAAGAACCAAAGCAATGCTGATGAATGAGTGAAAATCTGAATGTGTTGATGTAGTATCCACAACAACCTCTAGAGTCAACCTACTACATGACATTTCAGTGTGAAATGAGATTCTGTTCGCACACATTACAACTCAGGCAACTCTCAGAGACATGAGGTACTTCTCAAGATCCTTTCTTGATTTTCTATGCATCTTACAACACAATATATTTTAACTTCCCAGAAAATCTAATACATAAATCTTCACAGTGAACTAGTAAAAGTGACTGGATACATTATTTTGTAACATAACAGAAAATCCATATATGTCAGTAAACAAGATACTAAAGAATTTAAGAAGCCTACAAAACAAGAAATAATGTACATTACAACCAGAATGTGAAGTTCTTCACTGCACTGTCTGCTGAACCTGAATGTAAAGGTAATGTAACAGCACAGGAATATCAAGCACCCAAAAAACAATGACCTTAAGTACAAACATAGAAACTAACACATTACATTAAATACTGTTATATATAACTCTCAAAAGTGAAAGTTGATGACATTCTCATACTATCATACTACAGTGTTACCAAGGGAAATCATCTACACCAGTAGCTCTCAAACTCTTTTAGTCTAAGGCTTGCAAAAATATGTGAAGACCCCAAACTACAGACATAAATTAAAACATTATTTCGCAGTTAAATCTTTTTAACATATTGTAACATTTAATTACTTATACTTTGGATTAAATTAATTCATCAACTTTGTTATTAGCCCACTTTTCAGTGGCCTCTCAACAAAGGTTCACAGAACCTTGGATTACCAGTTCCCACTCCAATATATCCCAATACAGATCCAACATGTATACAAATTTAGTTTTCAGCATGAGTAATAAGGCGCCAGGAGTTGCCATGGCAGTCTGTATTGTAACTATTACATATCCTCCTGCAAGGAGCTGCATCATATAAGAAATATAAGTAACAAAATCCCACACAGCTACAAGTTTTGTTGGTTTCAGAAAAAATATGAAATCATGTTAGCAGAAGAAAGTATATGGCAGAAATGTACTTCAATACTCCATAACAATGATGCAGTGAAACCAATGTGCTTCAGTAAACCATGCTTCATCAATCACAGTCTTCAGAGCTGACCCTGAAAATGGATGCAGTATATTCTTCCAAAACACTGGTACTTATCTACTAAATTACATACAGTTAGACCCCTGAGGACCATAAGCTTAAGAGCCATCAACATGAAAACTTTAAATCTTCTATTTTTGTTGTTTATTGCTTCATATTTACACATTTCAATCTTACAACAGTAAAAACTGTCAACAACAGAACCCTAATGTAACACAGCAGCTGATCACATGGATTCAAAGATACAGAATATGATGACATTTCTGTTTGTTATTATATCTTTAAAAAATGGAGTGGAATCTTATTTGAAAACGTACAAAGTTAAGTACAAATGATATCAACTGGTTTAAACATATGAGGGAATAGAATTATCATGTCATGAACTTTCATTTATACCCATATAAACATATATATGGAATCCAAATTAAAGGAATAACTCACTTGTGGTTTCACCACATACTGCCCTTTGGTTGCAGACCTAATGTCTAATGAATGTTCAAACTCTCGCGTCAATGACTCAATTGTGCTGGCTGGGCTTGGAAGAGGTGATGACTGTGGATATGCTTCTTCTGTGGGTGGTGGTGGCTGGAGAAGAAGCACAACATATGTACTATGTGCTCTATGTCAATGCTATGCAAAGTCACAATTATGAATTACTGCAACTGAACAGTTAGTTGAACTGTTAGTGGAGGCAACATCACATTAATGTAAAGGAGAAAAGGAATATAACTTTCTGAATATTGCTCACAGTGAGATTTCTTGGTGTCTGGGGTTTACTTTTCTTCTTTCGTCTTGGCGGCGCAACTGGAACCGGGACAGATGATTCTAGACCTCCATCAAAGCTCTTCCCATTAATGTTATTACAAGTGTTTGTGTTCTTTGTGCTTGCTATTACGTCCGGCTCTTGCAAAGGAACAGTAACTAGTAATGACTGTGACGCTTCATCTTTTTCAAATGACTGAGAAATTTTTGATGTTCCTTCTCTGTCATTTTTAGGATATTTCTGTGCTGCTGCCAGAGCAGAATCAGTAGATAAGTTATGCGAACTCTGTGACGTTAAGGATGCAGTTTCTGGCAATGAATCATCATCTTTCCCACCTGATGTTGTAGACAACACAGCTGGTGGTAATGTCGCACTGTCACGGCCAATAGTGCCAACTGCAAATGAAAGTTACATTAGCATCTTAAGTACATTTTATTATAAGACAACCTGCTTCATATATGGGAGGTCCTGGGTTCAAAATATAGATGAAGACTGGATATCCTGAGAGTTTTCATGGTTTTCCAACAGTCCAATCAGTCAAGTGCTGGAAAAAACTCAACTTGGGTTATGACTGCTGCCTTCCACACCCCTTCCACTTCATTTCCTAACTTCCTGACAATCAATACCTTACAGTATGAGCAGTGTCATTAAAAAAGGTAAGGTAAAGTTGTCCCTGTGTTTAATTAATTTAGCACTATGCCATGAAGGTGTATGGGGGAGATGATGTATAGATCCACATTTTCTTGACCTCGGCACTAACTGGAGGTGACTAGCGTCATTAAATAAACAATAAATAAATAAAACACTAATGCTGAGATCTAAAGTACCATGTGTTAAAATATATAAGTAAAAAAAAAAGTATAGATACCCCTGTAACAGGCTGTGGAGGCCCATAGGGTTGTGAGATATTGAGGTTCCCACATTTTCTAGACAATTGGCTCAAAGATGGCGGCAAGGTTGTCAGCCCTATGCGCTGGCCACCTTTTACCCCCAAAAATATTCCATGAATATTCCTGGTACTCATTTCTGTTAGAGGCTGAGTCAACCCCAGGGCCATAGTGCGGCTGGAAGGAGTAGCTCAACTGAAAATAATCCAATGATCTCATCGGGACTTGAACCCGTGACCTTCTGGCTTGTAGCATAGTGCCTCATTAACTTTAATAGATCCTTAAGCTCAAGTTTCACTGTACCTTGCATTACACTCTGCACTCAATATTCACCTATATATTGACGTCAGGCTCAACTCAATCAAACTGACATGCGTGCCAAGGCATGAGGGTATTAAAGGTAATGACAACAATTCAGTTACACTGAGGAAACAGCTATAAATTGCCCTGCAGCAGTAAGACAAGCAACATCATAAATACCTTGCATTGTATTTTATGATTATAACAGACAGCTCTAAGAAATAATTTTGTATTTCTATCTTCAAGCGAAGTACTCTTAAATTTAAAGTTATTCCATTCATATTCAGAGAGCAACTGTATAGCGTGCAAATAGAGAACTGTGACAGAGAAAGAAATGGAAGAATTTCCAGTCTATTTTTAGGCACTACCCTAGCATCTGTCTGAAGTGAGGAACAGAACAGTCAGCTTCTACATACCAAACAAGTTGATGCAAGAGTGCTCTAGAACTGAAATTGAGACTTTTGGTTCAAATATTATTTAGGCCACAGACTATCCTGATTGAGGTCTTCTATGGTTTTCCTCAGTCTGCACAAGCAAGAGAGAACCTCTATCAGGCCATGAAAGCCTTCATAAATTCATCATTCGCTATTATTATACCACCTCACACTCTACAGCTTGCAATGTATATTTTATGTTGACTAGTTCCATTGTTGGAGCATTTGTTGGACTTGTTCTGTGTCCAGTGGTGTTGGCCTGTAATTGGATTTGCTTGAATGCAATAAATACTATACTATACTATACTAATGCTTACAGCACTTAATAAACCATACCACATTGTTCCATACTCATCATCTATCACTGCTCTCTAGGGCGCATAATATACCTGACAATGCAGTACATTATCACAGCTTTGCTTTTAAGTTGGGATTTCATCTGTGACCTAGCAGTTGGCTAGTTATAGAGTAGGAAATAAGTTATACTTGAGTGACATGTTACATGACACTGCCTAAGGCACGACTATAATGCCAGTTCTCCTGTAACACGGAACACTGGAAAACAAAGTAACTGGAACTTCATCTGCTTTATTCTTCTATGTTCTTATTTATTTAATTTTAGTTTGTTCACTGACACTTTTAATTTTGAAGATTATACAGCATCAAATGATATGTTCAGTAAATAATAAATCAGAAAGGATTAGAAAAAAGAATCTGGGGCCTAATCTAACATACTATTATCACATTTGACTGGATGGACTGAGTAAAACCATGGAAAACCACAGTCAGGGTTCCTGGTGTTCAGGCTGAGAACTGAACTGGGACCTCCTCAATATGAGCAGGAATGTTAACCATTTCACTGCACTGTCTGGTGAATCTTCACCTGTATTATCAATGGAGCCTCCGAGTATTCTGCCCACACGCCCAAGTGACGTCATGCTCTGAAGGCTCACAGTATCATGTTCAATAATACGGAATGGATGCGATGTCTTGCTTGGTACAGCAAATACTCCTTCAACTGATGAAGTCTGGCTATCTGGAGGTGAAGTATTGTTTAGCCCTGTATCTTCATCATCTGTTTGCATTCTCTGTCGAAGCTCCTGGAACCGACGACGGCCTTGGTTTCCAGTAATTTTCTTCTCCATATCCTGCAAAAATCCAAATCGGTTATTAGGAAATTCTAAAAGCACTACTACCTGTCAACACTGATGGAACCTCCACTGGCTACTACAAGGAGAGTCACAAAACTATATAAGTAAGATTNCTTCCGGCTTGTAGCATACTGCCTCGAGCAGTGGCGTGACGTGCATGGAAGCAAGGGAAGCATTGCTTCCGTAGTTAAGAAATGAAATGAAAAGAAGTCATATATAAATAATTCAATTTGAAGAATAAGGATTTGAATATTGTCATTTAGTGTGCGTTCCTGCTCAAGGCCACATGCCTCCTCCTTCTCCCTTCCCTTGCTTGGTGGGACGAACAGTTTCCTTCGTTATTCTCCGTTAAAATTCGTTGCACACGAAGTGGGCAAGGAAGCAACTTTCGGTTTGCTGGCCAATGCCTGTGATGTGGAAGTGAAGGCCTGTGTTCTTTCAATGGTTATGTGAAAATTAACTGTTTAGGTGTGATTTCAGTCTTGTTGGGTGTTATAGGTAACCTTAAGTTTTATTAAAATATTATAAGTGTATATTTAGATGGCGTAAGATTGTATTTGTGATCATATTTTGACACATCAGAAAGAAGCTATCTGCGTTTAAGGGAAGCAAATCTCTTACTGCGGTACACGGGCAGGGGTGTGATTAGACTACACACACAGGCCACAGCTAAAATGAATGCTGACAGACAACACGACTGCGACTGTGCAATCAAAAGCCTTTTAAAATGGGGGTNGGAACAAGACTGGGTTTGGTGATATCAACAACCTTTATATAGCATTGAAACGACATGAGAACTCTCAGACTCACGTTATTTCAACAGTTCAACTTGTTATGTTCGGGAAATCTCGAATTGTCTGTCAACTTGACAATCAAAAGCGCATGACGATACTACATAGAGAAATAATGAAACGATTGATATCATCTGCCATTAAGTAAAGTGGCAATTTGGCCTTCGTGGTCATGACGAAAGCATGGATTCTATCGACCGAGGTAATTATGTGGAATTAGTTCACTTGTTGAGGAAATATAATCATAAACTCAATGTTCACCTTGAGAACATTACAGTGTTTACAGGTTTATCGGACAGAACACAAAACAACCATACTGACTCAATAAGTGATGTAAATTTTGCTGAGTTGATTGCTATTNGATAGGTGGGAGAGCCAATGGTGCTCACAATGGGCCTTAGTGGAACGTTTCAACTTACAATGTTCAGCTTTCATCCTGACAGTCAGTGGTGTGACGTGCATGGAAGCAAGGGATGCATTGCTTCCGTAGTTAAGAAACGAAAAGAAAAGAAGTCATATATAAATACTTCAATTTGAATAATAAGGATTTGAATATTGTCATTTAGCGCACGTTCCTGCTCAAGGCCACATGCCTCCTCCTTCTCCCTTCCCTTGCTTGGTGGGACGAACAGTTTCCTTCGTTATTCTCCGTTAAAATTCGTTGCACACGAAGTGGGCAAGGAAGCAACTTTCGGTTTGCTGGCCAATGCCTGTGATGTGGAAGTGAAGGCCTGTGTTCTTTCAATGGTTATGTGAAAATTAACTGTTTAGGTGTGATTTCAGTCTTGTTGGGTGTTATAGGTAACCTTAAGTTTTATTAAAATATTATAAGTGTATATTTAGATGGCGTAAGATTGTATTTGTGATCATATTTTGACACATCAGAAAGAAGCTATCTGCGTTTAAGGGAAGCAAATCTCTTACTGCGGTACACGGGCAGGGGTGTGATTAGACTACACACACAGGCCACAGCTAAAATGAATGCTGACAGACAACACGACTGCGACTGTGCAATCAAAAGCCTTTTAAAATGGGGGTTTAAAGCAGGGACTTTTCTGAAAAGAAAATAATTACAGAAAGAGGTCGACCGACGTGAGAGTTGTCAGAACTTAAAGCACAAAGCAAATTTTGTGTGAGGAAATTTAATTTGGAACAGTATCCTAAAATAGAATGGCTATCCGGTTGCCGTAATATAGGAAAATTATTTTGTTGGCCATGCCTATTGTTTCTCAATAAAAAAAATGTATGGAACAAGACTGGGTTTGGTGATATCAACAACCTTTATATAGCATTGAAACGACATGAGAACTCTCAGACTCACGTTATTTCAACAGTTCAACTTGTTATGTTCGGGAAATCTCGAATTGTCTGTCAACTTGACAATCAAAAGCGCATGACGATACTACATAGAGAAATAATGAAACGATTGATATCATCTGCCATTAAGTAAAGTGGCAATTTGGCCTTCGTGGTCATGACGAAAGCATGGATTCTATCGACCGAGGTAATTATGTGGAATTAGTTCACTTGTTGAGGAAATATAATCATAAACTCAATGTTCACCTTGAGAACATTACAGTGTTTACAGGTTTATCGAACAGAATACAAAACAACCATACTGACTCAATAAGTGACGTAAATTTTGCTGAGTTGATTGCTATTAGTTCATTTATTAGATACCACTGCTTCCCTTACCAAAAATAGTACCGCACGCCACTGCTGACAGTAAAGTCTTCTCAGACAATCAGCCATGTCAATGTGTGAAATAATGGACATCAATTCTATGCTGACACAGCTGATCACTTAAGATGACTTCATTCTATAGTTCCAACTGTTGATTTGTGAATTATATCAGTGTATCTCAACAAGAAGGTGATCAACTAAGTTAGAACTACTTGTGTCAGGACTAGTAACCCTAACTAAAACCCAGTGCAAATTACATGACTAGGTTACAACATTTTATATTATAGATAACTGTAAGTAAATCTTAAATCAAAGAGCTCTGTCTTCTGCTTCAAGATGATTTCTTGTTTGGCTTATTCTTTGGCCCAGTAGATGGAGGTGATATGTCCCTCCAAGTATTGGTTGCCTTTTACAAGACTACACAACATTATAACTAAGAAGACAGAACTCTTCATAACCATTACTGAGAAACTTGAATCTAAACCTAAACTGTTCTGTGATATAGTAATAAATTCTTTCTGAACAGTCAGTTGATCACTACAGTCCAAGAACATTTTGTTTGTGTCTATGGGTTTGTTTTGTTTGTTTCTTTACTTGTTTTTGCTTTATAACAGATCTCTGGGCTGCTGAGTAAGCATGTACATAAATACAGAATTGAAATCAAGAACTCTGGTTTGAAGCAGGTCCCAATTTTTCCATGACAAGTCCAGTACTGTACTACATTATTTGTCTTGTACTGTCAGATTGACATATTTCTAGCTCCTTTGACTGTAACCCCACATTTACAACTGAGGCATCATCTGAATATATGTATTACTTCTTTTTAATCTTTAAGTAAGACATTTAAGATAAGACGAAAATATGACAGGCAAGCTGTCAGAGAGGTAACCTTCCAAGTCCCTGTATTGCTCAAGAGTTATCTTTACTTGTGTCCTACAGTCTATTACCTCCTAGAACATTTAGAAAACCTACTGATGAATTAGCTCTGGCATTGCATGCATGAAACTATGCATAACTTATCTAGAAACTTAATGTCATTACTTACAACACTTTCATTTTTATCCAAGGCAGATACAACACACTCTTGTGGAACTTCAGGTAGGTCAGCACTGTCATCTTCTAGGTCTGGTTTTACTTCTGGTTCATTCTCTTTTGCCGACACATTATCGCTTGAATCCGTTCGTGCAATTTGTACTTCCCTGCTTCCTTTGCCTTTCCTGTAAGGTACAATCTATATTTTATAATTACAAAAACTTCAAATTAAGAGGTTAAGTCACATTTTAACTGAGTCTGCTGAAATACTAAATTATTGCATCCTCATAATTTGATATTATAATTATTAATATTATATTTTATAAAAAGAATGGCATTACTGTCTCTTCAGCCCGTCAAAGTGATATCGAGGGTGAATTTCAAAGAAATTAGTATCTTATAAAGAGGCATAGAAGTAATGCCTTCTCTCTCACCTTGAAGAACGATTTGGTGTCAAATCTTCTGCATCATAAAATTCCTCACAATCACTACTTCCAGACATGTTTCTTTTATTTCAATGTGCTTCTGAATTCGCATAAACTGTACAATAAAACACAACTTTAATCAAACCTCCACCAGCACCTCCATCCATTTCTGTCTTGTAACGAAGGAAATACCCAATAGGGGAGATACATTTTGAGCATATTTTTGTTTCATTGGTTGATACTGATGTAACCTCAAACCCACTGTACCCATCGTACAAAAGTAAGATGGAGGAACTCGCAGTCGAAGTATGCGGCGAGAATGGGGCCTATTACAAGGTTTGTATTAATTAAAGTAAGCTTAAACTTCAAACTTTCTTATTTTAATTTTACGCAGCTACATGGTGAGCACATCGTATGAAGAGATTTAGATCACAAAGACCTTACTTTATGAGAATCATAGTTTTAAATGGCATCAGAGAACGCGGCTAGGACGCCATGTCTCATTTGACAGGGCGTGATTTTCCCCATGTGCCTCATTGTCGTTCTTTTTTAATCCTGCCGAGGCTTTTGTTCACATTCCGTATTATAAAATTGTTTAGGTTTCAAGGTTTATAACATTGATAATACCTGACCAGTTTGTTTCCTAACATATAATCATTAAAATACCCGCGACTTCACTAACCTAGTCTCTGTTGGTAAGCCAAGACCTACCGGTTGAGTTGACCTGCAGAAGAATAATGCCCGAAAACCTTCAGTTAGTTGCTCCGAAGAAAATTATTTTATAAAGTACGCCACCATTTCTGACAGAGAGATTCGACGTTAGGAGTTGTTTAAACTTACACAACCTATGTGAAGATTGGAACCTATATGTAGCTATATTTGATACTATAGGTCAGTGGTCAATGATCTTTCCCAAAATTATGAGATGATTTGTTAATATTGGTATTTTGATGCACCTTTATTATATCAACAGACGTTATTGTGTGGTTGTAGATGTTGCCTCAACAAATGCGAGCTCATTCTATTAATAAAGTTGTGTTGTTCCATTATCACAATTGTATGTCTTGTCCAAACCCATAGTGGTAGTGATGAATTATACCATGTAAGTAAATAGTTTCAAATTCAGTCAGGGAAATGTTAGTGTAACAGAGTATCAGAACACAGAATAACCAACTCTTGACATATAGGCTGTAAGAAAATACATTTCTTATGTATATGAAATTTTTTTCTTGTTTTTGCAGGCCTTTGTGACAGATGTGTTTGATGAGGATGTGTCAGTAGCCTTTGAAAATGAGTAAGTAATATTTGATATTTGCTACATGAGTTATGTTTATATACTGCTATAAATTGTACATTCATTTCAATCGTGGTATTGGATTGTATATACCATGTGGTTCTGAAATAAGAAGAAGTGAACAGAAAGTAATTTTCTTTTACTTTTGTATTATTATAAACTATTAATTTATTTTTCAGTTGGCAGCCAGAGTCAAAATTTCCATTTTCCCAAGTGCGTCTTCCCCCAGAGGGTGTTCCAGGGAAATCTGACTTCACAGAAAACCAGGAGATTGAAGTATATTCTCGGGCCAATGAGCAAGAAGCATGTGGTTGGTGGAAGGCCATCATCAAGGTGAGATATTTTAATACATATAAAGAGAGAGGTGCAGTTAAGTGCACCTTTTCTCTTCTATTAAATGTAGTAAATGGTCAAACATTGAGTTCTCTGGTTTCTGGTGTATACCGAATGTGTGTGTGTATATATATATACAGTGCGTACAATCAAGTGCGCGCCGTGGCTGCAATTTGCTGTGATTCATACCACCGCAGAACGGATGCAGTCACGGGGAGTGTTGCAACTCCTCCCCGTGACTGCATCCGTTCTGCAGTGGTATGACTCACAGCAAATTGCAGCCGCGGCGCGCACTTGATTGTACGCACTGTATATATATAGAGAGAGAGAAGGGGGGGGAGATTTTTTATTGCTAGTGGGGTGGGACTAAGGCCCTTGTACTGCAGCCACTTCTGGCCTATTGTACCAGCCCCAGATGATAGGTGAGGGTGATTGTGGAGCAATTGGTGGAATGAAGATTGGCAGGGGAAACCAAAGTGCTCGGAGAAAACCTCCCTCAGCGCCACTTTGTCCACCACAAATCCCACTTGACCAGACCTGGGATCGAACCTGAGCCGCCGCAGTGGGATATATGTATAGATTACATAGGCAGTATATTACAGGTAGCTGATGATGCAGCATATTACAGTGTTCACTGAAGTTTAATATAGACTGGTGTTAGTGTTCCAAGTTACCCATTGTTGAGCTGTAAGGCCAAAATAGTTGGTTGCTTCCAGCATTTGGCTGTTGAGCTTTCTGGCCATCCTTACAAAGCCCAAAAAATAGCCAACTTGGTTTTAAATTCTCTTCTTTTTATGAATATCCCATTATTACTGCTTGTAACTATATATAACTCTTTCCTTATTATATGATTCTTCTTATTAACTAAGGATTTCTGTTTTATTGATGAGTTATTTAACCCAAGGGCATGAAGGTCATTGACATTTGTTAGAGTAATAACCTATGGTTTTAATTTCTCTATTAAAATACATACCCAGGCCACTGTAATTTCGATTTCCATCTCCTGGCAATATGAAGTAACCTATATGTCACCAAGTTTCTTGTGTAGTGTCCTCCATTCCCTTCTTCAGCCCTTTTAGGTTGTCCCAAACATCTTGTTCCCAAATTTTTATTTTCTCATGTTAAGGGACTTCATTAAAAAATCAAATATAATAACAAATTACTTTGTATTGCTTATGTTTTATCATTTTAGAAAGTAGATGGGATGATTTAGAGTATAAATCTGAATAACAACCATTTCCCGAGTTTATTCCTTACTGCAAAACATGTTATGCAAGAACTCTGTGCTACATGCTAAAGAAGAGCTTCAGCTAAAAAGAATTCAGTTTCTACTACATGCATTCTACTAGAAGTGCTAAAAGAATTTCTCTTGAAGAGGAGAGATTGTCATTGGGCACCAGCAAAATTTGCTTGACCCTCAATCCAAGATCATATTTTGATGCTCAGTCAGAGGTCTTAAAATAAATTACTCCCTGCAATTATTCATATATGATATGTTTACAGCAGATGGCAGCACTGTATTTTGTTCTAATTTTTCCTGTCATAATACACCAGAATTTGACTAGAAATAGTATAAATGTGTTACAGAAATCTTAAAGAAAAGTCAGATGCTCTCACACTAACTGTGAGTCAGTGATAAATCTAGTTACATTGTTGCATAAGTACAGGTATATATATATACTATTGTAAGGTATAAGGGTATTTTGCTCTTGTAATGTATTTAGCAGTTAAAATCAGTAGTTGCGAAACAGCATGAAAAGAGCATTTCAGTAACAGTGCCTGGCTGCAGACGCCGTTCCAAAGTATGTGGTGGAATGCTGTATGGAACACCTTATCCCTATTGTGTGTGTGTGTGTGTGTGTGTGTGTAAGCAGCTGGCTGGTCTAAATAAGTTAAATCCAATTCCAATCAGACATTTCATATTGTAGATTCAGATAGACAAGACCTATGTGCCTGCATCCTTACATAGAAGAGTATTTCACATACTTCATCAGGCATGTAATTTCTCCTTAATAAATACAGTTTTGTGTAATTTCTGTTCATTTAATACCAACATACATCAAATCCGTATACCACTTGGTGCCTCTGAATATCCTTGAAATACTGAAATGCAACAGCATCAGGTTTTCGTGATAGTGTTGCACTCTGTTGCTTTAGCTCCATCTACTGTAATCACATATGATCTCTGCTCAGTAGTGCCAACATGGGATGAAAGACCGAATATGTCTTACAAATTGTAATGTTTTGCATAATGTTTTGTTATTTTGTTATCCGGATTTTCCTCTTTGGTGAAAGAAAGTACGCTTATGAAATCACCATGCCATCAATTTGTCCACCTTGCAACTTCTGGAGCAGTTAACAGAGATCAATAAATTTCATATGGGTATTATGCTATTAGAGGCCACCTGTATGTTGCACATTTTCATTTCCTGCAATCAGCAATGGCAGCATGTCAGATGTGCAAACTTGTGAGGTAGGAATGACACTATCAACTCTTAACTTTTATCATCTAAAGTGCACATATCAGTACAGTGATAGGTAGTTTCATTGTGGCCAGAGTGCACATATTCATGCACTTGGGCATTTAAACACTGCTAGGAAAGGCGCATGCACATGCCACTCCTAGGAGCACACACACAATCCTAAATTAATATTTTTAAGTATAGGAAAATTCAATGAACATACAATTTGTGTGGTTAACTGCTTGATGTATATATAGCTTTTGCCCCAGTGTCATCTGAATATCTCCTTTGTATGGTACTCCTCGAAGCGCTCGAAAATGCAGTCTCACGTCACAACCCCCCCTTTGAATTTAAAATTAGTTTCACCTGCATCCAAATGCTCCAAAGGATTTTAATAATTTTTGTACGCATCATAGAGTGTCAAAAATAGTGCAATTTTTCCGCAGTTGGTCAGAATTGTCACCTTTTCTATCAATATCTGCATTGTTGTCTCTATAGTGAAGAATGTGAATGTGAAAAGATTGGTCATGTGTGAATGTGTTACTGTAGAAGGAAGTGAGAAATTGTTAAGCAGTCGCCCAGTAGCCTCTTATTCTAGCTCTGATTTCATGATGAAATTAATCTGCGATGTATGAAGTCACAGAGAACTGAATTCACGCTGTATCTAAGCCATGATATAAGCGTCTGGTTGTGATCAGCTGCACCTACAATAGAAAGGTTTGGCATTCAAGTACAAAAGAAGCCATTTTCTCAACAGTCCCTCCTTAATACCCATGCTTCCACTTTTCTATCCCTGTGGTCAACAAGGTCAAATAACTGAAGTGTGTAACAAAAATGTGAATTTTACAAGGAGAAAAATACATATTTAGGGCTCCCAGATGTTTTATACCACCTGAGGCTTAGAAAGAATGTCAAACATTACAAGCAGCAGTGATTTTATAATGCAGCACCACTTTTTGAAGAAGCAGAACACTCCGAAAAACAAAAAAAGAGAGGATACCTTTTTTGCTTAAATATTTTCAAGTCATATGTTACAATATGTGACATTATGTTGTCTGGTAAAACAAAGTTAATTCCATTCCTTTATCACAAAAATTGTATTAGATACAGCATTTTCAAATACAATTCTTAAAATTATAAAAGCACCCTTACAGGAACAAACACTTAAATGCACAGCAGCAACAGGAATTTAAATACACACCAGCAGCAGGCATTTAAATAAACTCCAGCCAACTCAAGCTACCATCATTTCAAAAATCCATCATTTAAAGGTTAATCTAGAGTCCTGCCGTGGTGTACGGTAATATGGCTTCAAGAAAACTGAAGCTTTTGTGGTGTATGTATATCCTGTAGAATATAAAGAGGAAGAACATGCTGAATATACACAGATTTTCATTAGCTTGCAGTTTGATGGCAAGAACAAATGTACCATTGGAGCCAGGCATGTGTAATATACTGTGGAGATGGCTCACAAACATACCTACATGTTGTTGTTGAAATACTGATTATAAGTTCTCAGTTACAAGAATGTCAGCAGTGCATAACTTTTAGGTTGTAAGTGAGAAATTTAGTCTAATTATTTGTACTTAAATAATAAGTTCTTCACAGAATTAAATGACAGTAATAATACTCATAGTTGTATACATGTAGGAATCTGTATAGTAGAAAAGCAGCTGTTATGAGCTCTGCTCAGAACTCTTTGTTTTATTTATAGCTGATAAAATTTCATGTTCTATTTGCTTAGGTTTAGTATACAGGATTTTGTGTAGTGTATCTGTAGCAATGTTTGAAGCATCAGTTTAGTGTTTAGAATGGCATATTTCAGTTGTAGTTGTGACATTTCCTTTTGTAAGGAGTGGGATTGTTTTGTTCATTGTGGCTAGCTTGCCTGTCCATTTTAACTGTGCAGTGGGTAAATGGTAATTTAAATCTGACGCTTGGATAAGTTTGCCTGCTCATGTATTTGTGGATCAAGGAATTCTCCCAGAGTGACTTGCTCAGTACAACTTTTGTAGAGAAATATTCATAGGAATTCTAGCTCTAAGCAAGGTAAACAGAATAGCTTATGAAGGGAGATTCTCATTTTATAGTTTTATTCAGTGATTTGAGTATTGGACGAGACTCATTTAAATAACATCTAAAAGTTTGTAATGATGGTTCATTAATACAAATATTATGTTTCTGGACATTATCCATTGTCATCTTTTATCTAAAACACCATCCTGTTTTTATTTAAAAAATGTTTCAGACTGGATTCTAACTCCGTCTTCAGGTAAAACCTACTCAGTTGGGCCAAATTGATAGAGCTAGTCTGGAGATAGAGACAGAATCCAGTATTTGATATGTTGTGTTTTTAAATAAAAACAGGACAGTAGATAATGTCCACAAACATAATATTTGTACTCATTATTTATCTTTTAATCTAGTTTGGTGTGTTGTGATAAGGGTAGCTGAGTTTATAGATGGGCTGCTAGTACGAGATATATTTGGAAAGTAACATTTGTTTATTTTAGGCAGCTAATGTAGGAGTGGTGGATTGCTCACATATGTGAGGTAGCATCACATTTCTCAGTATCTTGTAAACCACCACATAGCTGGTCACCTAGTGTTTGTTCTTATCTCTGCGGCATGTGTCCTGCGATTGTTAATCCCACCAGCTGTGAAATTTGCCCTATTATCCGCTTTCTTTATGATAAAGACATGAGTGGTGCAGAAATCCACCGTGAATTATGTGCCGTTTATGGCCAATATATAATGAGTGAAGGAACTGTAAGACAATGGTATAGAATGTTCAAAGATTGGTCAAGAAATATTCACGATGAAGAATGAAGTGGTTAGCTGGCCATCTGTAATGAGTGATGATCTTGTTTAGTGTATTACCCAAAAAATTTGTGAAAGACATCGCTTCTCATTTTCAGAACTTTCATGTGAATTTCCACAAATTTCACACACCGTTCTATATGAGATTATTCCATAATGAGATTTTGCCATAAACCGTGCATAATTCACAATGGATTTCCACAGCTATCATGTTCTTACCATGAAGAAAGCGGATAACAGTGAAAATTTTGCAGCTGGCAGGAGCATCAATAACAGGACACATCATAACTCACTCTGTAGAGACAAAAACAAACACTAGGTAACCAGTTATGTGGTGATTTATGGGGTAATGAGTCGTGTGACACTTACCTTGTATGTGCAAGCTCTCCCCCGTTCCTACATTCGTTGCCTAAAATAAACAAAGGCTACTTTCTGAATGTCTTCCATATTACAGTCTTGAATTAAACATATGTCTTGGCAATTATGCACACTACCTTTGTTCATTGTGGCTGAAGCAGTGTACAGTGAAGCATAAGTGTAGGAGTTGGTTTCTCTCTTCTGGTGGTACACATTGGTGTGGTGTACTGTAACTATTTTCCTAAAGCACAGAAATAGAATGAAAGCATATGAGTATTATTCTGAAAACAAGGAAATAATAGTAAACTTTTACATTTAATTAGCTGAAGCTTCACCTGCACTTGTCACATGAAAGTACCTGAACCGTTTTTAATAAAGAAAAGAAACAGTAATTCCTCCCATGTTGATTACTTGCATGTAACCTCTGTGTAAATCCATAGGTAGGTTTTCTGTGCAAGGCCACTATGTAACTTCAGTATCTTAAATGTATACCGATCTGCTTGAACTTGAATTATGCTTATATACATAAACCACCAGAAACTCCATTTCATTTTTAACAGCTGAAATCACATAAGTATTATTCAAAGTGAGAACAGGGTGCTGAGGAGAATATTTGGACCAAAGAGGGATGAAGATAATGAGGCGCTTCATAACTTATACTCTTGCCAAGTATAATTAGAATGATAAGTCAAGGAGGATGAGATGGGCAGGGAATGTGGCACAAATGGAGAGGAGTGTATATAAGATATTGGTGGGAAAGCCAATGGATTACAGAGTGTTTTATCCCAGAAGATGGAATTCTTCACAATCACCACTGCGGGAACCTCAAATTCTACATTGTATATGAAAGTTTACAGTAGAGATATTTTTCAACAGTTCATGTTTTTAATTGTAACAGGGGGACCAAGATGGCATGTGGATGTGTCCAGTGGCCATGGTTTCATTCAGAGTACCATATGCCATAGCAAGTGACATACATTTTTTTTTATTGTGCAGTGTAAAATGTACTTTCCTATTGAACTGGCTGCAAATCCAGTATCATCTATGTGACATGCTAGCACATGTTCATTCAGTGGCACATCGGTGTGAGTGGTTATTGGCACCTATGTAGAACTCCATCACACGTCTCCAAAACACATTTGCTGAGAACAGTTGAACATTAAGACTAAAAGTTCATCTACAAATATCATATGTTTTTGAATAAAATTAAATCTGTAAGAACATACCATAAGATCAAGTCAAAGGGGATGAGGTGGGCAGGTCATATAGCACGAATGGGGGAGACCAGGAGTGCGTATAGGATATTGGTGGGAAAGCCAGAAGGAAAGAGACCACAAGGAAGACCAAGGCTTGGGTGGGTGGACAATATTAGAATGGATCTTAGAGAGACAGGATGGGATGATATGTATTGGATAGATCTGGCTCAGGATAGGGACCAGTGTAGGGCTCTTGTGAACACGGTGATGAACCTTCGGGTTCCATAAAATGCTGGGAAATTCTTGAGTAGCTGCAGAATTGGCGGCGCCTTCAGAAGGACTCAGCTCCGTGAGTAAATAAGTAAGTAAGTAAGAACATACCATATATAGACATTTAGTGTCCTTTCTAACAGAGATGATCACTGTAGTGTATCCAGTCTTATGACATTCCTTCATGGTACAGGTGTTCACAAGTTTATTTAATTGTTTTCATTTTGGCTTCAGCCTGAGCATACCTGTTTGTTGTTTTTATACAGCCTGTTTTATTGATGTTTGTTAACAATATTGTAACAGATTTGATCAAAGCGTTGCCGGGCAACAGCTCTCTAAACACAGTCCAACATGCAACAATAGAGGAAGCTGTGTTTTCTGTAGATCCAATCGACGCACCAGTAGGCTGGCTCAATGGCGATCACATGATATGTGTTTACTGTAGGTCCATGTCTGTTCTGCGGCTATATAAGTAAGAGAGACAGAATTCGTTCAGAGCAGTTACGAGTCAGTCGTAAGCTGGAGGAGTGAGTCAGAAGAAATTTTAGTTCTGAGGTTCGAGAGTGATAAAAGACAAAATAGCAAGAAGAGTACATAGTTATTTGAAGTTCTAGTTTCTGTGTTCAGATCCATTGCTAGGAGGCAACTCATGAAGACGGAGAATCCTAGTGCATATACAAGAGTGAACCAGAAATTGTATAAATCAGTGATAGCGCTGTATTTGAGTGTGATTAAGAGATCTTGTAACCAAGGTGTTAATAAATCCAATCATCCGAACTAGAACCTGTTATTTTCGTCATGCATACTACCCTACACGTTAAATATTTATTGCTGTTTCTGTTGAGCTTTTTACCACTTAACAGGCTGGTAGAAATCTGCTTTAAGTATTCTCATATTGGATTTTATAAATAGTGATCCATCCTGAACGTTATCCAGGTACACATATGCAATGATGTTAACACACCTCTAAAGACAGATGCTCATTCAATTCTAGGGTCAGTGTCTTCCTTGAGAGCAGGTTAAAGCTATTGTGATGAAGAGGACAAATGTTAGTAGTTACAAGATAATTAGTCTTCCAGAAGCAGATGAAATCAATTTTAGAATGGATTAATGTGATTTCATTGCCTTTGTCCACAAGGTTGAAAGTACAAACTTTAAATGAGTTTTTATGGGGTCATTAACAAAATCTGAACAGCACAAAAAGGCAGAGTTAAGGGGAGGACATTGTGCAAAAAACAAGTAGAAATGGGGAGATACTGCAGTATTAAATGAATATAAATTTATGTGATAGGTACTGATGCGTATGACATGTTTTGCCTGACCAGTAGGAAAAATCTACACATTCAGATTTGACTGTTCTTGTTAGTATGGTGTTCATCCATCAGTTGAATGCCAGTGTTGTTACTTATCATAGTTCTGGTCTCTCTCTCGGAATCCTTTATCTTCTCCAGAAATTCTGAAGCTAAAAGGCTTGTCATGGTGCACAGCAACTCTTGCCAGACACCCACTGTTGAAATATGCCATTGTGAAAACCATTGTGTTAAAACAACTTTTGTTTAAGCTCTAATCCATGTTGGCTTATTTAGAATTAGATAAGTGCTTGTGAGCAAAAAAGTATTTAAGTAATAGTAACAATGTGAATTTTCTTGTTATTTTAATTTAATGCTTATTCATGGCAGTTTTAAAAGCCATGAGATTTGTATTGTTTGAATTCTGTTATCCACCTGTTATACAATGTCAGATGATTTAGGAATGATGCATCATTCTTCCCAGAGGTGTGTCACCATTGTCAGCACTGCTGATATTTTCAGTTAGGAAATTCTTATTATACAGTCATAATTAATCATACTTTAGAATTATCCTTGTCATTTTAATGTGATGGATATGCTACTCAGACTTCATACATGACTAAAAAAAGACCCTGAACTTGTTTGGAGTTCTGTATTTGTATTCATAAGGTTACTTGTTTTACCCATTGTATATTACTGTCATAATTTGGTTTGAAGATTGTTTCCTGGAATAAATGGATATGTTGATTGCGAATTGTAAAATAATTTAATTTTGATCTTTTTCAGATGATAAAGGGTGATTTCCATGTAGTTGAGTACTTAGGTTGGGAAAATACCTATACAGAAATTGTTGCAAGTGAAAGGTTGCGGCCCAAGAACCCAAATGCTCCCATAGATAAAGCCACATTCTACAAGTTTGAGATTGAAGTACCTGAGGATCTGCGTGAATAGTAAGTATTCTGGAATAGATTTAACTTAATATATATTGATGGAACTTTGTCACCTTTATCTGGAAATTTTATGATAGACATCAGCTAGGCGCATAGAAATTGTAAGGAAACGTCTATAAGGACATGGAAGAAACAGTGTGGTATTTGACCATACAGGAGTACATAAGTGCAATAGTAGAAGTGTCAGTAGTTAAGAAATTCAAACTTGTATGACATTATGTAAGATTTGAGGCTTTCACGGCGGTGACTATGAAGAAAGCAGTCTTCTGGGATTTGGCACCGTGTATATGTGGTGTTAACCGACGTTTCGGAGGAACGTATCACCTCCATCTTCAGGGTAGAAGAAAAAGTATAAGAAATCTGCAAGCGACAAGACCTTGAGAACGGTAAAAGCAGTCTGCTTTTACCGTTCTCACGGTCTTGTCGCTTGCGGATTTCTTATACTTTTTCTTCTACCCTGAAGATGGAGGCGATACGTTCCTCCGAAACGTCGGTTAACACCACATATACACGGTGCCAAATCCCAGAAGACTGCTTTCTTTGTATGACATTGGTTGGTATAAGTTAAACCTGTGTAGTTCTCTGTCAGAATGTAATGAACGCACTGTCAGTTTGTGATACAACTGAAGTTCCATGTGCACCAGAATATGAATAAAAAAAAGGTGAGAGCTTTCAGTTCTATAGAAAGGTAAATTTGTTCCTGTGCTTAACTAAATAAGCACTCCACCATGAAGACATGGAGGAGTGCATGTGTAGATGTATAGGAGGTGGGGGAATATTGTGTCTGTCTGTACATATGCGCTCAGTATTCCTTAAACAAATTGAACATGACACAAAGAAATTCTTTATGACAAAGTTCCAAAATGTTATCATGCATGGCCAAAGTTTAGGCAAGAAAAATTCCTGTGATGTGTCATGTAACGCTGTAGTCCGTTGAAAGTCAGCTGATGTTTCAGAAGAACATGCCACTTTCAGGATTGAAGAATAAACCAAGTACAAATCCAGCATGAAGCAGGCAGCAGAGGTTGCTGCCTGCTTCATGCATGTTTCTTGCTTGGCCTACTTTCATTGGAGGACTATGTGGCATTACATCCCAGAAGATAGAATTCTTCATCGCCAGTGCTGTGAGAAGCTCAAATTCTACAGTTTAGGCAGCTTCATTGCTTTCACTGTTACTGCTGGTGCTGAAATACCAGTGTCTTAGATGTCTTAGTGACTGTTGTGGAAAATCTTATAGCTTAGTCCATATTTCTTTCACTTTTTCTGTAGTAAGCGCACGATATCTTTTGGTTGTTTGGCCAGGAGACCTAGTTTTTTGAGTCAAGCATCCATGATGTGTGTTAAGCTTGCAATTGACACTGAAAGGTTCACAGTGAAATTTGCACTGCCTCTTTCCAGCATAACTACACTTCACATATAATTTATACAGAAATAAACATTATTGTGGCAGTGTACTGGACCATACCTCCTCCCAGTGATAACCAGTAGTTGACTGAACATGCTGTACAACACTTTTGCAGTATCCACAACCCATATTTAACAGACTGTTCATCACTGTTGCAGCCCTTTTCATTAGAAGGAAAAACCAAAACTGGATGCCTGTTCATATGAACAATAGTCATATCACCAGTAATTATAAGTAGCTCTTTGAGTTCCAGACTTGTATGTGGACAAAGTGGTATCTCTGTCGAAAGTAGGCTGTTGCTGCCTGATAGTCAGGAATTCATAGAACAAAGTAACATGTCAAGAAGATGTACTGTATGTTGTATTACTTATAGCTCTTGTATTTCTGAATATGTTTTTAAATATTTGCTGAAGTAACTTATATTTGCAGAGTGTGTGCAGTCTTATTTGTTGTGCACATTGGTGGCCTCTGCACCTTTCTTCATGAAAAAGAAAGTAGGCATATGGGGTCACCATGTCATCATTTTCGTACAGTTTGTAATTATTGGTAGATGTGCAAACTTGGGAGATGGGGGTAAAATTAGTGCCTCTTAATATAGGGTTCTAAAATATATTCTGTAACAGATAAAAAATTTAAATCATGGTGTTAGAATGTAAGACAACATGGCAGTTGCATGAAATCTGAATTTTGTGTTTTTGATTTGATGGCAGTAACTAATTAACCACTGGAGATGGATCATAAACATATTGTCACGTGTTGGGAGTATAACGCAACAAATAACTTCACGCCGCATTAAATATAGCAAATTTATTGAACACTCACTCTCACATTTACACAATTCACAATTTCACAACTACTGCCATCTGCAGTATCACAAATACTTCTGCTGTTTCCATTCTCTCCGGCGAATGCTAGACTGCAACTAACTTCCACTGCACTCAGCAACTGCACGATCCACACTGTGTCACTCCTGATCACACACTCTCTGGTCACATACTGCTCAGCCAGCCATTTATACTGTTCCCTGTTGCCAGTGTCAACAGCAGTGTCCCGTGTTACGTCTCGGCGGGAAGTGCTGTTACATCACCGCGGGAGGGGGTGGAGCGTTTACTGGCCTGTTACCGTAGCAGTGACAGCACTCCGACACTGTTACGTCACCGCTGGCGGCGAGGGGGTGTTCTGCATAGCGCAAATACGTCACACTGCTTCCTCCTTAACGGTGCATCCCCGTTCCTTTTATTTGAAGGCTGTTCTTGCAATGTCTTCTTTTTGTCCGGCTACTACTCTTGCAGTGACTATTCTCCGGCCATTACATCCACTCCGGTTTCACTATGGCATCTTTGTTGGGGACTTCTCGTTGTTCTGCCGCCTCAGGTTTCCTGTCCACTGAGGTTGGCTCCTCTTCTAGACGTGCCTCCATCTCTTGGCAGGCCATCATCTCTTTTCGGGTAATCAACGTCATTTTTTTCTTCAGGTTCTCCGACCGGTATCACTATGGGGACCTCTTTTTGTTGTGCCCCCTCAGGTTTCATGTCCACTGAGGCCAACTTCTCTTCTAGAAGCACCTCCATCGTTTTTCGGCCAGCATCCCTTGTAGCCAGAAACTCTTTATGGCTGGCATCTATCTTGGTGGGATTTCATGCTGGCGTCCATTCTTGCCAGCCTGGCTTCTGTCCTTGCTTGGATGACTTCCATTTCTGCGACCAACCCTTCTCACATGGCGGCCGTCTTTTCTCGCCAGGCGGCCACAATATCTATAAATTTAATATGGAATATTGCATGAGATTTTAGGTTGCTACAGCAATGACTATGAATTAAACTTTTTTGCTTGTAAGTCAACAGTGAAAACAGAGTGGTGGTGTGAAACTTTGTGGTTATGCCTGGCAAATCTAATATGGACAGAAATCTGTACATAAGTAATATGTTTCAGTTCAGTTCTTTATTTTTTACGTGCTTACTGAGTCTGACAGATTTAATATGGTCAGAGAAATCTGCATAATTCATATGTTTCAGTTCTTTATTTACACACTTAGTAAACAGCTGAATGGCAAATTATAAAATAAGCTGGAGCAGGAGAAATAGACAGAAGAAACATAGGCACCAACAAAAGGCAAAACACAGCAGCTGTCACTTAGACAATATTAAAGTTCACTTAGTCTGTCATGCCATCCATTATGCACTAAAAAAACACATGCGCATACCCGCTCATTCACCTTGAATACAATTAATATTTTAGTAATTAAGAAAAGCCTTAGTAATAGTAGTAGGAATCTGTTGGATACTGCAGATATTCTTGCTTTTCTTAACAAAGTAAAGTAGGCCAAAAATCTAAAGCCAATGGTAAGGTAAAAGTAAAGTTATTCCTAACTAATTAAGCACCATGCCATGAAAACATATGAAGAAGTGAAGGTATAGCTCTACAAATCGTAACTTTGATACTAGATGGAGGTGATTGGTTAGCTTCATGCCCCTGCTGCTTTACCTTCAGGAAAATGGCCCTCTATACCCATTGTATAGGAGACTGGGTGGGCTTAAAAGCCAGGAATCAAATCCTGATATCTTGGTTGTCCAGCCCATAATCTTACTCACTCTACTGACAGAACTGTCCCAAGTCCCTGAAGCCAGTGGTGCTTCTTATAATCTTAGAATAGCATTTTCTTTTAAAATATACAATATTTGTGTTACATAATTAAATTTAGTTTTTGCTTGATGTGTCTGTTCCACACTTGCTGTATTCCTAACATACCGCTTAGCTATCAGAATGTTCCCAGACTGTTATTGTTGTAAATGCCTTGGTGAAAGAAGTGACACCACACTGTAAATACACATTGTTTTTATGCGAGTGCTTTTTTTCGACTTTGTGTGTCTGTGATGGATGGCGAAATTGAGCAACATGTCTGCATCAGATTTTGCGTAAAGCTCAGTAAATCCGCCACTGAAACCCTTGAAATGATTTGTTGGGCTTTTAGAGAACATTCTTTAAACTGGACAGCAATTTTTTAATGACATTCATGTTTCATGGCCTGTCAAATGTCAGTTGAAGATGATGAATGTCCAGGGCACCCAAGCACCAGCAGAATGGCAGAAAATTTTGAAAACTCATCCATGAGCTCACAGGCACCTTTGGGATCAGTTATGGAGTTTGCCATTAGATCTTAACAGAAAATTTAAACGTGCTGCATTGCTGCGAAGTTTGTTCTCCAAATTTTTGCAAATGATCAGAAGCAGCGGTTTCATAAACGTATGTCTTGAGCTACAAGGGAAGGCTAACAAGGACCCAACAAGTATTTCTAGGATTATAACAGGTGACATAAATTGGATTTACGGTTATGATCCAGAAATAAAGCAGCAATCATTGCAGTGGAAAAGCCCACAATCACTAAGAACAAAACAGGCATGGCAGGTTCAGAGTTCAACAGAGAGGATTGTTCACCATGAATTTGTCCCTCCTGACAGTATGGTCAACTCTGACTATTACTGTGATATTTTGATACGCTCGAGAACATGTGCCCTGAAAAGACAGGAACTTTGGCACAATCACAACTGGCACCATCACAACATGCCCACCCACAGAGTTTATGACGAACAACAATATAGTTATTGTTCCCCATCCTCCCTACTTGCCGGTCTTAGCCCCCTGTGATTTTGCTTTGTCTCCCAAATTGAAAATGAAACAAGGGATGATGTTTTGAAAAAGTATTTGACATCCAAAGGGAATTACAAGCAGTACTCAACACCATTAAGGAAAATCTTCTGTGATGCTTTTGAAGTGTGGAAAAGACAATGAGATCACACTGTATACGTTCCCAAGGAGATGGCAGCCAAAATTGAGTAAGTTAAGCCATCGTTTCTTTCTTGACCTAGTCCGGGAACTTTCTGATAGCATCTTGTATGTTGGTTGCCTGTTATCATAGCCAGAATAAGTTACTCTAGACTTGTGTGATTTTACACATGTAATTTATCTTATATACATGGATGTGTAGTGGCATGTATTTTATGGAGCCTTTAGAATGGTAAAGTTGTCACCATTCTTAACTAATTAAATACTATGCCATGAAGGCGTATGCAGGAGTGAATGTATAGATCCACATTTTCTTGACTTCAGTACTAGTTGGAGGTGAGTGGTCAGCTTCACGCTTCTGCTGTTTTACTCCCAAGGAAAGAGCCCCTCCACGTACCCATTAGATGGGAGGCCGGGCAGGCCCCAGAGCCAGTATGGACAACATGGAGAGGGGAAAGTTCTTGACTGTACCAGGACTTGAACTTTGACCCCATGGTCATCCAGCCTGTAGCCAGTCACTATACTGACTACACTACCCTGGCTCCTTTGACTTCCTAATAAGTATATATACCTAATCCATGTATGTAGGCCCATATTTTATATTCAAAATATGAATGTGTAGGGAGGGATGCATTCAGTTGATCCTCTGATTTATGTTTTGTTTTTATTTTCAAGTTTTCTTTGTTCTAGTGCAAAAATGGACAATGCTCATAAGGAGTTTCAGAAAGCCATGGGTGCAGCAATCTGTCGGTATGTACCGGATAGAGGGGTTCTCAATGTAATCTCAAGGAGTGAGCATTCAAAAAAGCGTTCAACCATGCTTCAAGAGATGCATTTTAGGAATCTAAGTCAGAAGGTATTGCTGCTAAAACGAACTGAGGAAGCAGCCCGACAGTTAGAATCAACCAAGCTGCAGAATGTTGGAGGGTAAGGTTCCATTTAAAAACTGTCTTCCTCATGGTGTGTGCATACTAACAGATTTTTGTTATGTTTTGTGTTTTTATGTTGTTATAGTTTGATGAAAAGCTCACATTGTGGGATGAAATAATGCATTTATGTTTTAGTAAACTGTAACTTATTTTATGTGACATTATTTGTAGCTTAACTGTAAAATAATACTCTTTGGATTGATCTGTCAGTTAACTGTAGGATATAACAGCTTCTGGACAGGTGAAATTTACATTTTCTTATTATTAACAGAGTGCAGTATGTGAACTAACTTAACTCTCACTTCAACACAACGTTTCTTTTTATTTCAGCAAATTTAGGCCTTCAAACTTTATATATCAGCGTGTCTCAAACTATGAGGCAGGGGTGAGAGCAAATGCAAGGTGAGGCGCGGTATTTCTTGACAATTTGGCCTTCTTTACTGTTTGTTGTTGACCAGATACTGCATGCCTCTTCATGGAGAAGTTATGATTCATTGTAGCATACTATTTCACTGCTATATATCGTTAATAGAGACCTTTTAAGATTCCTTCTGCAATACTTGTAGTTTGGGTTGGATATTTTGCAGTAAATTGTATATGCTATGAAGATTTCTACAGAGTTGGCAATTAAACGAATAGCCTGCCACAGAGTTTGAGAACCACTGATATATGTATACTGTGCTATATTTTAAACAGTATTAATCTGTTTTATGGTTGTATTCCATGTTAGAACCATGGAGATTGTATTTTGTTACTGCAATTATTATGTATTCATACATAGATCAATTAAAGCAGTAATATTGCAAGGTATACATTATTCATAAAATGCATGTGTGTTGCAACATTAAAATTAATGTTACATTATTTCCGTTGTCTGTTATTATGAATGTAAGGGTATTTGTTTTCAGATACTCGGACGAGTTTAGTGTACGTGAAGATCTCATGGGACTTGCAATTGGTGCTCATGGTGCAAACATTCAGCAAGCACGGAAGGTAGAGGGTATCACGAACATTGAACTTGAAGAGAATTCATGCACTTTTAAAATTTATGGGGAGGTAAGTGTCAAAAATTGTTTTAAATACATGTTTGCATTATCTAGAAAGATGTTTTGAACATAAATTTGCATAATACTTTTTTGGTTTAACAAAATAAATTATATTCATTGCATTGATGTATGGTTTTCTTCCAGACTCCTGAATCTGTTAAAAAGGCCCGTAGCATGTTAGAATACAGTGAAGAATCCATTCAAGTTCCTCGGATTTTGGTGGGGAAAGTAATTGGAAAAAATGGGCGTATTATTCAAGAAATAGTGGACAAGAGTGGAGTGGTAAGTCTGACATTTAACTACTGGAACACAAGCATATACAGGGAGGTTATTTGAGAGCATGGTGCAAGTGGTACAGCCAGTTAAGCAGAAAAGAAATGACCTCTGTGTTTTCATCCTTTCTGCTTTGACAAACACACATGTCAACAAAACCCACCCTAATCACAGCAGCTGCTGGAAATGGTCCATGTTGTTACACATTCAGTCCTTGCCCCTCCATATATTGTTCACATTGAAGTTCCTTTCTGAAAATTAAGCAGAGTTGAAACCTGAAACTTTGAGCCCCAGTCTGCTGTGCAAGGTGTCTAACAGGTTTTCCAGGGGATTGTTTAAGTCTAAAATTGATTTCATCCAGTGCTCACCTGTCCCCCTTCCCCCCAGCAATGATCTCTTTGTCTAAATTTATTTACAGTTGTACAGATAGTTTTTATGCCCTGTTTGGAACTGTAGCTTCTGAAATTCCTGCTAGAATGTTCTCATTGCTTTTGATGTGCATGTTGTAGTTGAACACATAGTGCATTGTGTAATAGTCACATGCCATTTTGACATAAGAAGAAACACAACTGATTGAATGGTTAATACAGTAGCAGAGGCTTGGTATTACTGTTGACTGGCACATAAAACTTATGGCTGTTGGCCTGTTGAACATGTTACAAGCCCATCTGTGCATCCTACAAGTTGATGCAAGTAGCCTGTGTCCTTCCCGCTGGGCAGGCCAGATGATTTGTGACAGGCTCTCAGACAGTTTTTCTGTATGTGGGTTTGTATTACTGAAAGGATATTTTAATCTAGCCAGGTTTATAGTAGAGGGTGGCTGAAATGAACCCAGCCAGTAAATAAACCGAATAACTTCACTCTCAATGGAGATAACATGCTAGTTGTTTGAGGTGTAAAGTGTAAAAGCTCACCAAATATTTTGTTTTGTCAGCATGTCTGGACATGTATCCCCCTTGCTGCATGGCAGATATGCAGTCTATGTTCTGTCTCTGCCCAGGTGTGTCTTAACATCTCCAAAGTTAGACACTGCTGCCAGTAACGAAACTGAATAACTTCACTGTCATGGAAGATGCATGCAAGCAGTTTGTGATGAAAATTGTAAAAACTCACCAGGTGTTTTGCTTGTGATAGTTAACACTGCTGTGTGTGCACAATAGCTTTTGTTTGGTTTGTGCAAAATGGCATCATTCAGACCACAAGAGAGAGCTCTGTGCTGTCACTGACTGGCAGAATTTAAGTTTCCCATGACTGTTCAGTGCAAGTTTCATTAGAAGCACAGCCATGATTCACCAAACACAGTTGTTAATCAGCACCAGCATTTGCTGCAATCTGGGAGTTTCAAGGGACATGATGCAGGTGGTAGACCACAGATGGAGCTAAAGAAGTTGAATCCATTTGGGAAGCTTTCCAGTGAAGCCCACAGATGTCCGTTTGGTGAGTGAGCTGTGAATTCATCATTCAGCAGTTTACAGTGTAGTGCATGAGAAGCTAAACACTGAAGGCATATGAATTGAAGCTGCTTCAGAAAGTGCAGGAAAATGATTTGCTGCGACACAACAGCTTTGCTGCCAGCGTTCTATCTGGGATAGATAATGGCAGTGGCTACCTCAACAGGGCATGCTTCAGTGAAGAGGCTGTTTTTGATATCTCAAGTAAAGTCATATGCTGTTTTTGTCGCGTTTGAGGATCTCAGAAGCAACATGATGTGGGGAGAATATGAACAGGCTAACCCAAAATTGAATGTGTGGTGCAAATTAACCCGGTGCAGGAATAATTAGACCATTCTTCTTCCATGAAAAACAGTGACAGGTGCTGTGTGTTGGCATGTTAAGAGAGCTATTCTGTGCCACATGTACACCACATGGTTACATCTTCAGGAGAATAGAGTATCATCACATTTCTGTCTGTCACTGAATTCATGAATGAGCAGTTCACAGGAATGTAGATCAGTCACCTCATTCTGTGGCCTCCCTCCCCCAGTAACCCTATTTGACCACACTTGAATTTTTTTCTGTGGGGATATATGAAATTCAGCATGCATCGGACCATAGTCAATGAACCTGCCTGATCTGTACCATATAATTGATGCAGTAGCATTTGTAACTCTGGAAATGTTAAGAAACATCTGGACAGAATATAAGTTGGATGTCTGCTGCTCCACAAGGGAGGCACATGCTAGAAGCTACTGTCAAGACAAAATGATCATTGAATGTTTATGCTTATCACCTCAAATAGCTTGTATGTATCTCCATTGGAAGTGAAATTATTCAGTTTGTTTATTGGCTGTGTTTGTTTCAGATGCACTGTACTTGTTTACATTGTCATTGTTTTCCAAACTAAGCCTGCTTCTATTTTCCTGATCTTGTAAAAATGTACATTCCAGCTCCACAAGATCCAGTTAATTAGGATAGAACCTCTTGCTAAATAACAACAAAAAGAGTATTAATAAAAACACTACAATAACATCAACAGCATCATTCCACTATCTGTTAATACTTATTTTGATCCTGAAATGCAGTTTTATTCTCACAGCTGCTGCTGATGCTATACTGAAAATTTAGAATGGGGTTCTTTTACTACAAGAATGATGTCACCAGCTCACATATCTGTTAATATTAAGCAGAATTTAGGTTTTTTAAATAGTTAAATATTTTTCTATTCTTGTTAGTAGTTTTTGGTGATTGTCTTCAGTTTATAAAAGTGAATACCAGTGTAGTGTTGTTAAGTCATGCCTGCTCTCTCACAGATTTCATTTAAGTTATAATATCATATAACCTTAATGAAATTGAATATGGAGTACTGATTGGGCCCTTTCATTTGTTGAATAACAGCTGAATTTAATGCATAAGCCCATTGAGGTAGAAGGGTCAACATGGCTGAAAGGAGGAGGCTGTTCTGTTTTCCTGTCCTTTTTACCTTCTACCATTTTCTTGTGTCATATATTCCATTCTGTTCTGATCCCTTTCTTCTTCCAAACTGATTTGTTTTGCATGCTGAACATCTACCACATCATCCCCATATTCACCAGACCGCCCACATGCAAGGATTAGACGCATCAGTTTGTGTTCAATTTTCTAGGGTATATTTGACTTACCAGTTGTCACAGATTATACATATTAAACTTTTGTCTCACCATCAGAGATCTTTCCTGTATATATGGTTGCTGCCCCACAGTTTCAGGTTGAAGGTTGATTAGAACCTTGCTGCCCCTATATGAAAGTCTGTGTGTGTGTAGCCTGGGCCATAAGTCCACTTGGGGCTCAGGTGGTGTGGACATTGTGAAATTCACATAGCTGTTACTCTGGCTGTACTATTTTGACATGTTTCTATATGCATTTGAATAGTGTAGAGTGGAAGCAGTGGGTTGTTATTCCTGTGCTAGGGACCTCAACTTGCAGCTCAGCACTGTAGGACTTCTAGGCTTCAAATTTCCAGTGACATTCTAGAAGGGTAATTCCTCTGACATGTTTCTTGAAGTCAGGTCTTAGCAGAGGTCTCCATGCTGCACAGACAACAAAATTTGAATGCCTGTTTTCTCTGTCCTCCCCCAACGGCAGACTGATGCCAGCATTTCTGGAGAGGGCTATTTCAAAAGTCTCTTCAAACTTAAACCCCACTTCACTTCTTAGTAATCCAGGAAAGAGAATACAACATTCAGTGAAACTGTTACAACTGAAGTGCTAGTGCTACAGTTCATAACCATAAAGAGTACCAAGAAGACAGGCAAAGTAACCCATACATTCAGACAGCTGTAGATGAGATTGCAGGCAAAATCAAGAATGCGCCCCAGTTAAAAAAGATTTATCTCTTATTAGAGATGTATACTGTACTTCTTTTGGCTTATTTTGGACTTCATCCATTGTCTAGTATGTAAAAGACAAAAGACCACGACGTTTCGGAGACTGGATCTGTCTCCGTCTTCAGGATAAACCTACTCAGTTGGGCACGTTAGAAAGAGCTAGTGATTGAGACTAGCTCTTTCTAACGGGCCTAACTGAGTAGGTTTATCCTTCCCTACCCACCTGAAGACGGAGACAGATCCAGTCTCCGAAACGTCGTGGTCTTTTGTCTTTTACATACTAGACAATGGATGAAGTCCAAAATAAGCCAAAAGAAGTACTCATATTAGAGGTTCACAGTGGAAAGCAAGCAGAGACCATATTAAAAACAACTTATAGGTTCATATTCCATTTAGGTTGAGCAATATGCATCTCTGAACTGAGGGAAGTTGTTAACATTAACTGTCTGTATAGGATAGCCAGTGAGGAGATAGTGGCCCCTTGCTGGCCAGTCTCTGTGAAGGTCATACAGGTTAGTTGGGAAAAGAGATAGGGAACCCATTGTCATTTGAAGTTCCTGCATTATATCTAAGAATCTAAGTTGAATATGTAAGGATCAATATATGAGGGTTATTCAGAAAGTAACCTCTGGTGAGCTGTTGACAAAACAAGTGATGAGAGAGAAAAATATTTATTAATATACAAAAAATATATACATACTTAAGCTACTTCTCAACATAGTCACCACTGGAATTGAGGCACTTGTCGTATCCGGATATAAGTTCCTGTATGCCTGTGTCAGAGAAGTCTGCTGCCTGTGAGCTGAGCCTCATTTTGACACCATCCATCAGCTCATTATTGTTCAAGCACTGTGATTTGAACCAGTTCTTCAGGTTGGTAAACAGGTGGTAGTCGTTCGGAATGAGGTCAGGGCTATCAGGCGAGTGGTCACTCAACTCCCAGTTGAAATGCTCCAGCAGCGCTCAAGTGCAAGCCACTGTATGGAGGAGCACTACATAGGATATCAGCATTCCATGCCATTTGTTCTGAGTGGCCAGCTCTATGGAGTGTTTTTAGTGTTTCACAGTACACTTTTGACATTGTGGTCCCTTGTTGCATGTTCTCCACCGCCGCCATTCCTTTCCTGTCCTCTTCCAGAAAACAGTCTCCATTAACTTTCTGGCAGGCAGACAACATTTGTTTTAATTTTTTTTTTTTTTTTGTTTG